GTCACTCTAAATGTTACGAAGTGTAAAAAACAGGTGTTATCGCACGCGCATATGATATAATCGATATCATTTATTTTCGCAAAGGTTACCTCCACGTCAGTTGCTTTTATTAGCTCACGTATGATTGGAAGTGCACTTAATATAATATATATATATATAATATAATATATAACAGAAAGTAAAAAAAAAGTTAATTTACTTCTATACGTTTTTAAAAAGGTATGTTATTAAAATATCACGTTACTTTTAACAAGATATAATGCGTTTTACGCACTTACTTGTTCGTAATATTCATGAAATTCTTTGTTTGGAAGATTCGTACTCTACTCACAGGAGAAAATATTATCGCTGATTTAAAATCTCGATTTCAAAAACATTATCATGTATCCTGCAAATGGATCGAATATAATCTTGCTCGACAATCACATACTAAGTCTATTATATTATGGCGCATTTCCATGGGATACGTATTGCATGTAGCATTTTAACAGATCGTTCAGGAAGGCTAAAACAACAAAACAACATCGTAGTGTGAACTCTCGACATTTAAACTCTTCAGTTGCATATGCATGTTGGGAAGCTCGCCCAGCGAAATATTAATTCGGACGCACGTTGTATACATGGTAGATCACGCGTGAAGGGTACGATAAGCGCTAAACGCATGCCTCGCTGAAACACAGAATATACGTAGGGATCAATAGAAAACCGGCGCGGTTGATGTAGTACGTTAAAGCTTTGTGCGATTTGCGTACCTCCAGGAACGATCGACAGCCGGCGAGATGGAATACGTCTTAAAGTGGAGAAAGAGTGATATAAGTCAGACATTCACGGTTAAATGAACGCTGCCTGTCGACGCTGTCCGTCAATACAAATCAAATTGCGAGTTTCATCTATACGATATACTTGACACTATATATGTATAATGGGCTTCGGTTCCATAGAGCGTTAACGAACAAGGTACACCGTGATGCTGATCGGAATCGATCGATCGGTCAGTCGAGACTCGCTCGTCGCGAGATTGATAACGAGGGTCGTTAAAATTCTGTTCGCTGCGCCGTGAGAAACGGCGCGGCCGAATATCAATGTGTTCGCGCGTGCATGCACGGTGCTCATGCATCCTACATAAGCGTTGCATACGCGTGCATCTTCACACGTGTAGGATACCGCGGCGTATACGCATTTGCACGGTGCATGTGGTCGCCAACTACACGCACACACGTGCGGCCCCGGCCGCAGTGACGTCCATGTGAACGCCTGGCGCAGGTTTCAGCATGGAAACGACTCCCTGGGGTACGGCTATATTAAAATTCCTAAAACTTTTTAATCTTTCCGCCGTAGTTAAATATTAATAACGAAATCTCGAATACGGCAATGTGCACAGCGTTGCTCAGGGACATGCCGGGTACTACTCGTTATACTTTTGCCAAGCAGACTGCGCCGACAGTCTCGACAGGCTCCACGAGCTCCTTCCGCGTACTCTCCAGTTCTAGATCTATGGATTAAAACTGGATGGCGGCGGCGGTGGTGGACGTGCGAAATGGTTGGATGAAGGAAGTGGTAGAGAAGTGGTACGAAAGCGTAAGGGAGACCGGTTATAACGACGCCTTCGTGTATCATAAGTTATAGGATATGCGCGCTGGCCTCTGCAAATGTGTTAGTCACGTTTGCATGCGCGGGTGTGCGGACACGTTTAATGGCAGCACGCCTGTACCGGCGCGGCGTGAATGTGTATATTAGAGGGTAGATATATCGGCAAAGGGCAACTGAGGAGACGACCGTGCAGCTTACTTAACCACCATTTAAACCTGAAAGCGAGCTTTGGTTCTCCGCTGAGATCAAGCTGTGACGCTAACGGCCTAACGCTGTACTGAAATGTCCAAAACGCGCGATCATAAATGGTGATCTTGAGAGCAACATGCATAAATTGCTTCTTTAGTAGAGTAACCAATATATTGTATTATATGTTTTACGCATTACATATATTGTTGTGTGTATTTATTTGCGTTATATTGCTATTGCGTTGTATTGTGTTTCTACATAATACGTTCACTTTGTTATTAACTTTTTTTCACAATGTAGCACTATTGGGATAACGAAAAAAAACCATAGTCATTAATGTTGTATCGCAACATTTTTTCTAATTTGATATATTTTTTGGAAATCTAGAATAGTAGAATTTGATATGAATTTTATCTTGCGATATCTTTTACATATATATGTATCCATTCGATAATAAAAATTGATATATTAATCACAATAAATGTATAATTATACAATAAATATAAAATATATAACGTGTTAAAATATCATTCAGTTGTATCACTCGAAGCTATTTTGTCTTTGATGCTGGTGGTTACTTCGAATCTGCAAGAGCAATCAAAGTGCAAGTACAATGTGCTCGTATGCAAATGTGGACATAGGTTGAAGCAAGTTGTCGCACTCACGTGAATGGACTATTCCAGAAATCCCTTTCCTATTGTAGTCATTGTAGTCGCGCATTGTAGTAACTATTCCTAAGTTTCGATAGATACTCATATATATATATATATATATATATATATATGTATAGAGAACAATGATTATTCTTTATCGCATTATAATGTAATTAATATAATGAAAGCATCAAACGATTAAATGAATAAAGGAGTTAAAGTCATCATCATTAAGCACATTTTAATATGTCTTTCAAAGTATTCCCGATTTACTCTACACTATCGATAATTGTGACATTGATTAAAGGCTCGATTTATGTTTCGATGCTGCATCGTTTGCGAATTATGACCGATAATTAATTTACGTGGTTAAAATTTCAAGTTGCATTGTTAAAATTTCTAATTGATAGCAGGCGAATCAGCAATTTGTAATTAAATTCCATTGTTAAATATAATTATGCTTTGTACATTTAATACGAAAACATATTTTATATAAGAATATTTAAACTTTAAACGTTCTTGGAAAGTATCCTAATTTGAGTTTTTCAGTTTAACTATTCAGTTTAAGCTATTTCACGAACCTTATTTTCTTCTTTAACAATATATTTTTACTGTTTTAGCATATTTTAATTTTAGAAATGTATCGACAAATATATAATTTATTTTGCAATAGTAATGTATAATGTAATAATGGTAATTGAATTAAAATGAATTATTTATAAAAATCTTTATGAGAGTTGCTAAATGATTTAAATTACGATATAAATAAAAAATACTAAATATATTTTTTAAAAGTATATGTGTAGGAGAGAGACACTGGTACCTAGAAACATGTTGTATCTTGGGACACATTAATTATTTTTTAACAGTAACGAGATTTTTAATATTAACAGCTCAGTTATATTACTTCAGTTGTAATTTATTTTTAATCTAAATAATTACGTGTTCTGCAGTCATTTAGATTTTACAGACAAAAATTTGTTTCTTCTTTGTAAGTATTTTTCATATATATTTTTTCTCTAATTCTTTTACAAATTTTTATGAGAAATTCAAATTTACTATAAGATTCTCTATGTAATTTTTAAAAAATATTATTTAGCATATTTGAAAAGTTACATTTTTATTTCTGTTTAATTTCAGTAGTCTTATAATTTAAGCAAAATTGTTATACTTAGAGACGTGTGTACATAAGAACTCGTTTAAACATCTTTAGGATGATATTGGATATAATATTCTTTATTGTTTTACCTTCTTTACGTTTAATTACTTTATTGTATTTTATAAGGTTTTACGTTACAATATTAAACGATTAAATTTATTTATTATAAACATTTGTCTAAAATTATCTTTATTACTAATAGTTTAATTGTTGTCGATTCAAGTAGAATTAAAACTGTTTTTTCCTATAAATTTGCGTTTTATTTTATGTATCCTTAGCTATAATACATTGTCCATTATAGGTACAATTATTTTTTTTATCTATAAGGGATGATTTATCAAAAGAAATTATTAACAACAGAGATTAAAATATTATTCCAAAATGCTATAAATATTTATTTAAGTTATATACATCCTCTATTTATAAACAACATATGAAATAAAATAAAAATAGTTAAAAAAGTCTAAAAATCAAAATATAAAAGTGTCCTTAAGTACACTCCTTATGTAAAAATTCATGCTATAATTATAAGAAATAGGTATTTTCGGGAAAGATACAAGTAATACTCTCACACCTTGCTAGTTTATGCAAAAACATAAAGAAAACGATCACATATTTTCTGATGACATTTCGCGATGATGGGTCACCTGCATATATATAAAATATATATCATGTATATATATATATATATATATATACATATATAAATCTAAAATTTATGATGCAATATTCATAAAGGTTTGCCCGAAAAGCAGAAGCGCTAAACCGCGTTTCACGCTTGGCAAGCGATATTCGCCAGCATGGTATGGCGTTATTCATATTTGAAGGAAATACGCTGACCGGCATGTATAAGAATCGTGAAATTGCTTAGCATGGAATATCGATATAAATTTGTGATAACTCGCTGTTCTAAGCTGCATTTATTATTGAAGGAAGTCAAAAGACGCTGTATCAAAAATAAATTTAAACAAATTTATCTTCATTATTTCTAATATAACTGACGGTATGTACACAACCTTTCTTTTCTTCTAGTGTAATATCAAGCTCGATCAAATATATCTCACTAAGGATATAATTAATCACGATTGTTTATCGCGTAAAGAACGAAGCATAGCAGGCCTTTCTGGAATAAACCATTTGAGGCAAGGAAGAGGAGCGTACCTGGGATCGGGGAAAGGAGCATTGAACGGAGCACAGAAGAGGCGTGAGGAGCATTGGTAGAGGAGAGAAAAAGGAAGGGGCTGGGGGAAAAACAAAATAAAAGAGGAAAACCGCTGGCAATTTTTCACTAGCTTTTTAAAGCGCGGCTTAGGTACTCGTGGAGCGAGTTTGAATCGATTTTTCCAGAGGGGAGAGAGGGCCCATTTTTCTACCGTCTTCTTGTGCCAAACGGCGCAAACTGTACCTACCTCCAGCTGTTTCGCTACTGAACATGGTTGTCGCTCGAAGGCCGAGTTTAGATTGGAATCTGAAATTTCGATACCTCTCACGGCGGTTCCCCTTTTTTCTCCTATCAAGCAATATTCGTGAAGTTTCGTGAACGCAGAAGTGGTGCATCTGCATGAGCCAAGAATAAATCAGGATGCGAAATCCGAATGGAGATTTCTTGCCGCAAGAGAAACGGATACGAAGATCTATGCTTTAGAAGAAGCGATTCTATCTTTACGATTTTTACGGATTGAGATTCTTAATTCGTGAAAGAGATGATAAAGTGCGAGATGATAAGTTATTATTAACATAAATATTTTTCCAGAACAATATTAGTGCAAAACAAATGTTTAGACGGTAATAACATCAAATAACTGTAGCTACATCTATTTCGTCCACTTTTACGATGTATCGTTGCGCGAAATCGCGATACTGTCCCTGACTTTCGTCACGTAAAATCACAGGGCGTAACGTACTGGTTTGCAGATACAATCGATGTAGAGCGCGGACTTACTGACACTTCGCATGCTCGCAAAATGCTAGCTCAATATGTTCCTTTTGTTTTGCTCACGTAATTTCCTTGCGAAATCGAAGTTCTGCTGCTGATTATGCCTATTCTTAGACTACCACGAATCCTTGGTGTAGGTATATGATAATTTACCTTTATAAGTGAAGGTAATTTTCATTATTTGAATATCTGAGAGCATGATTACATTAAAATTATTCTTAGAAGTGTTTTTAGTTGTGTCTATTTAATATAATAAAAGTAATTATTGACAAATTTTAACAATAAAATTAAGAATTATAAAGGACTCTTCATATTTCACAAATTCAAGAATAGAGTATAAAGTAGGGATGGAAAGTAGTTCCCATCACTCTATTCTTGAATTTATAAAAAATTTTTGATATATATATTGAAAATAAAAAATCATAGCATTCTACATTTCCAAATTCCCCCTGTTTAATTATTATTTCGAATCATGTTAATACTATTATAATAAAAAGAAAATCTTCAGAACAGGGAAGGAAACGTTTGAGTGTTTTATCTATTAATTATCAGTCAGTTACGCGAAACTTACAGAGGATTTATTATGTTCTTTAAATGCTGCCTATAGAAATGTGTCAAATTAGCTCCTTCGCTGGTTTCTGCTGCATAAATGCACGCGGCTTAGCGTTACTGGTTTACCGATACAATCGATCAAGACTGCGGAGATTGACGCGACTTCACCTCCAGCTCGCAGCTCAAGCCCGACTTCGAAGGGTATCGGTGCTTGCGATATTATCGTCATGCATCTATCGACCGGCGAGTTTAACGGAGCGCAAGGTCGCAGGACTCGTGGTAGCTGCCGCGCGATCGCAGAGATATGCGTTATTATTGTTCGCGTCGGTGCATCGTGAAACGTCGGACGATGATGGAAACTCGTAAAACAGCTCAGTTAGGACGAGAGGGCGAGGTCGTTAAAAGTGTAATAAACTTGAGCAAGCCGGTTGATAAAACGAAATATTCCGGATTTCCTTCTATTGCAACTTCTAGGGATTTGATTATGTCTATTTATTGTCGGCACTGACATTTTCCAGAGTGGTGGCTTTTCTTCAGTAAAGCCGTGGGTTAGTACTGCATTTTTATAAATTGCATTTCCGGAAGCGTTAAGATTATGAATGATATTTGTGACTTCGCGCAACAGTATACTCGTGAGAGTCTTCAATATATATAAATATAAATATAAATATTGTAGTACTTTTAACATTTAAATATGTATAGATATCAGTAGAATAAAGAGAGATGTTTCAATGTATGAGGCATTTAAACAAATTAAATATTCTATATAGCATTGAAAGCTTACAGTATTTTTTAACTGATATTTTTATATCAGGTATATAAAAAAAAGATAAAATATTCAAAGATTATTAAATATTCTTTTCTTAAAATATTTGACGACGTTAAAATGTATTTTTTTCTTCTTTTTACTGCAAACGCAAATATTTCTTTTAAGTATTTTTTAATATATGTATTAATAATGTGTTTTTTATAAAAAATTTATTAATTAATTATATATTTTCATTAACTAAACTTGCGAATAAAAAGAGTAATACGTAAATCTATATACTTATAATTGTAACATAAACTAATTGATTTTTATAAATCCAATATTAGGTTATTTTGCATTTTTGAAAAGTCGTTAGTGATACCATGTTATCATTTTATGATGACGTTATATTATCGCTCATATAACTCTAGTAAAACGGTAAGTCGACTTTAATGAGCAAGATTAAGAGGACTTACGAGATCTCTCCGAAGGCTGAGAAAGCTTCCCTTAAGGTATGTGTCTCGATTTCCGGACTCAGGTCTCCAACAAATATGTGATAATGTTCTGAAATAAAAAAGAAGATGATTAGACACATACTTTGAAAACAGAATAATATAATACATTTTTGTTACTGAGAAAATTATAATTGAAGATAATAATGATTATATTCAAACACATTATTAATTTCTGCAATGAGTATATGAGCTTTAATGGATGCAAAACTAGATGTGAAATATTTATTTCGTTATACTTGGTTCAAAATACATATCTCTGTGATTAAACTCCGCAATCAATAGTCCAAAAATGTAGATAAAAATTCAGTAACTTGATAGAGAAATAATTAATGTGTTTCTGTGACGTTCATTTAAAAATTACTATATTTATCTCTACACAAGAGCAAAATGCAGAATCATTTAGAAAATTACGACACGATTTTAATAAAATTGATTTATTATATTTTATTAAATATTTAACGTAATGTAATTTTTATATTATCCATTTAACAATATTATTTTTTAAACATAAGATATCACTTTGCTATACTTATAATCGCAATACACTGAATAAATACCAAATTTAGCTGTTTTGAGAATATCTCTTTATTAAATTGTTAATGAGCTCTTTCCTTCTCTAAAAGCGTGATGATTCTGTCTGAAATATCTGACATAATATAAGGAAAATGAAACATCGCAGAAAATTACTCTTAGCGCGAGAATGCTATTCAGACAATCGAAGGTCTTTCATAATACATAAGATGCAACCTCTAAGATAGGCACTTAAAATAACTCGTCGGAGAATAGAGGTAAAGACAGATTCGTAATTAAATCATTTCCTGCATAAATACAGACCGGTTAGCGATACATGATAAATAATTACTAATTGTAGCTGTTTTTGAACAAATGATACCAATCCTGGACCGTGAAACGATATAAACTATTAATAAGTAATTATTAGTCACAATCATTTTGTTTTAACTATATTGCTATTCGAAAAACAGAATTCGCAAATTTGTGAAAATATAACGATCAATTATAAATCATTATATGGTTTTTATGTGTAAAACTAATAATAGCATGAAACAATACCGTTTATCATTAAAGAAGGAAAATGAGAAATTGTAATAATATAACTGTGTGTGTGATTACACACAGAATAACGTTATGTTAAATAATATTATGCAAACATTTATTATTTTACAAGTATTGTATTAAATTTTCAAGCCAGTATATCGTATAATAATATGATATACGCTAATGTTATTCCATAAGATGGATCGGATTATAAGTATTCCGATGCGTTTGTATTAAACGCGTTTCCATTCTTCACTGATCGAGACATAATTGATATTGAGATCGCTTTGCGAGTGTAGTAATTTTAATGTGTAAAGTGATAATATTATTGAATAGCAATAAATATTTGAGCTATCTAATAAAAAGCAATGATAAATTTGCCAATTTATTACAATATGAACTGGTTTTATGTTCTTCAAATACACATCTCTCATTTTTGCTTTGTTTATTCCATGTCTACTTAATATTCCCGGTCTAGATAATTGTGCTACGTTGTTGCATATATTTCAATTATTTTAAATACTAACTCAACGGAGAGATTACTAGCGGCTTCATTCGACCACCTTATCGAATTAAGCGCTAGTAATCTCCGTTAATCACACACGCTGTTTTTTTCACCCGCGAAAATCTGTGCGATTCTATGGTTAGAACCGGCCGGATGAGTGCAACGAAACGGTGTGCGAAGTAAGCTTTTGGGGGGATAAATTATCGATTCGCATACGGTCGTGCGGTCGAGTGCACGTCGTGGCGTTGCGGTACAGCCTCACATCGGCTCGATAAAATATGCTCCTCTTCTCTGGTCTCTCGTTTTACCTTTCTCCTATCCACATCCTCTCTCCGACTCGATACGGTTTCATTCACGTTGATATGTAGGAATAGATCAAGACGAGTAGTCGAAAATCGAGTTACCGCCGGAAGGTCTCTACCAGGGGCATCAGTTACTCTGAACGGGATATGCCACCGTTGGAAAGTATAGAAGGATAAGATAGAAATAGACTGTCGGAGACGGAGGGTGGTCTGATTACAATCAGTTTGATAGCCTATCCTTGCCGGTTGGAGGTTCCGGTGGGCACACACAGTGGTCCATTCTCGTGAATTAGTCCGATCCTCATCATCTTCCTTTTCGACCAACTCAATCGACATCGTCGCATCGTGCCAGGATCTTGGTAGATTAGGATATCAACAGGAAATTGATGAAAGTTTATTTTGTTCGTAGATGCCCCCGAGATTTTTATACAATTATCCAGTATCAACAATCAAATTTCTTTCGATATCCTCTTGAAATTTAAGATCTAACGTTGGATAAAATCGAGAGTCATCAATTCGAAACGAATTTGTCTTGAATTTAATGCATATATAAAAATGTTATGTTTGCTTTTCAATCCAAGTATTGTAATATATCCAATATATCAATAGATGCTGCATGTTACGGCATTAATCATTTTACAAGTGTCGTAATTATTTGTCTTTTGAAGATATACTATAGTATATATATGCAAAATTCTGATCTGTATATATGTGTTGATAAATATTTATAAATTCGCGATTAAATCTTTTTTACGCACTAATAATTTTAATGAATAATTCGATACTTGAGCATCTTTTCTGCGATCATAAGAAAGGTTTCTTCGCCATTAATAAATATTGTTAAGGCAGAGTTTCATGAAACGTCTTGCTTGACACAGTTCTTTTCATCTACGCTGCAGATTTCTTAGTTGATTAAATTATCCATGCATTTTTCTTGTCTGCTGAATTTTTCAGCGAGCATCGCATTTATACAGCTCAAAAGGATTAAAAAGACTGAAATCTTTCCCGTGAATCAAGAAAGATCAAATATCACGTAATTTCACCAAAAGGGATCTTACACGAAAGCGGTTTTAGAATCGGTTTGCTTTCAACGAAATTTCGCAAAATCCTTCGAATTTGATATTATCCAGTAGTAAATAGTTGGCAAGATCCGATTTCGTAGGGAGAAGGTTTGTTGAAATATGGCCCGGGTGAATGCAGAAAAGGCGCAGCATGAAAAAGATGCCAGCATTAAAGGATCTCCGATGATGACGTCACGCGTCATGGTTCACCCACCGTCTGGTGGTTAAAACGTGGCCCACGGTTTTCAATAAAGTGGGACTAATGGAGCGCCATTTATTATTGCAGCTCTCTCCATCTCTCTCTCCCCATCTCTTCCTCGTTCCCTTTCACATGCCTACCAGTCGACAGAATGATGCTTTCATTTGAAATGAGCGTTATTTTCCATCATCGATGTTAGCGACAACGGTAATTTCGGTAGTGAATATAAAACATCATTATCGTTACAATTGTGACGTATTATCACATTTAAATATCGATGCATTATGAAATAAGGTTACTAAAATTACGATAGAAGCAGCACCTGCGTGCCATGCGTATGTACGTATTCACGTTGCATGTTTACGACGTGTGTATGCAAGTTGCATACGGGAAAGTGTGCTGAGCTAATAATAAGGGAAGGCCGTTTAATTTTGCATGCAGTGTGTTGGTTGAGTTTCTGTACGAAATAAATTTCTTACTTAATACACGCATAATTAGGAGAACAATCTTTCGTATATTTTGAACGCATAATGTGATCTTTTTGAACATTATTTACCTATTTGACATTTACCTTGAAAGATAATTTTGATATATATCGTATAAAACGTATTTATATAATTTAAACATTTTTTATGTTAAAAAGACGATTAAATGTATCATATAAAACATATCATATCAAACTTGATAAAATCGTAGACAAATATCTTGTTATATTGAAAAATTAATATAATGAATTGTTTATGAGAATTTATTCAATTAAAATTTAAATCAAATTATATTTTAATCAAACAACTAGCAAGTTTAGATTATTTTATTGTGTTAATTAGAATTTTTTAATATATGTGTAAGATATATACAGGATATTAGCGAAAAAGGGTCACAGATTTTAAGAGCATATATAGAACAACAAAAAAGTAAAAAAGTTCTAATAAACAGATAAGTTCGAAAATGAACAGTTACCAAGATATCTCTTGATTTGTTTAAACAAGACATTTCCTTCAAATCTACTTAATAATTCCGTTAATAAATCAAACTAATCAAGACTCCTCACAAATCAAAGAATTGGAAAGAGTAAGGACACTAGGAGTCAGGCGCAGAAGACGTCGCGCTAACATGTAAGCGCGTTTAGTGAATAAAGAAGTTTCATTCTTTATAAGTGTATTATTTGCGCGACGTCTTCTGCGCCTGACTCCTAGTGCCTTTACTTTTTCCAATTCTACTTAATAATAATATAACGCACAAAAAACGCATTTATTTCTAAAAATTATTCTTATTTATTTTTATTATTCTTAAAGTACATGTTCGAAAGGTCCACCTTCCATATTCGAACAAGTTCTTTTTTGAGTGAACATTTTTGAACGAGTAAAGGCGTCTTTCTTAAGAAGATGTAAAGCTTGTTTGGATATGGAAGGTGGACATTTCGAACATATACTTTAAGAATAATAAAAATAAATAAGAATAATTTAAAAATAAACACAGTAAATACGTTTTTTCTGCGTTACATTATTATTAAGTTGATTTGAAGGAAATATCGTTTAAACAAAGATTAAGACATATCTTCGCAACGTTCTTGGTTCGTTTTTAAACCTATGTCTACAAGGATTTAGGACTTTTTGACTTATTTTTTGTTGTTCTATATGCCCTTAAAGTCTGTGACTCGTTTTCGCTAACATCCTGTGTATAAGATATCATCTAAATTAATTTCAATTACAGTAACCAAATTATGGAATATTATTTTCTACGTATTTGTATATACATATATCAATATTTTTTCCAAATATTAGCTACGATCTACGTAATCTATAATTTAAAAAAATAAAAAATTTTGTTTCAAAGTAACATATATAACATCGATTATTATTTATAATGACATTTACAATATGGCGCATAAAATGACATCTATTCAATTTATAAATGTAACACACA